ATTTTCTTCTTCGAGGTCTACAAGAATTTTCGCTAGATTTTATTTGTAATCGAATTCAAATGTTCTATAACAATGTCTTAATCCAATCATTCACTTTTTACAATTCTTTGGTCTAGTCTAATGACCAATTCAGTCCGATAGTGTTGAGCCTCCCACGAACAATTCAAGCTGAACAGTAAGAACAGAAGCTGATTATTGGTTGATTTAAGGTGTACAAAGCTGATCAACATCAGGCTGAATACCCGAGCAAAGCTGAAGATCAAATTGAAATCAAAATTTGCTGTTATGATGTAACTTATATTGAATACTCCAGTTGATCTCATTTTGGTTGACTTAACGGTTAACACAGCAAAAATGAGAGCAAAATTTTACACTGTTGAAGCAAACGGAAAACTAATCCTGCTTTCAATGAAATCAATTTGATTACTGATTTTGCATTCATAATGTTTAACTGAATACGGGCCTAGAGTAAATGGTTACCATTCATGTTTCTCAAGCTGAAAGACTTAGGCTCCAATCTCACCGCGGGCAAGTCACGAATGACCTAAAATGTGTTAAACAAATCAGATAAACGATAATCATTAGTTCAACGACAGATGAATTTCAATTAAATTTTAAACAATACGTAAACAGCAGAACTTCAAGTTAAGTTGCTTTCATTTAAAACGTCTTGACTGCATAATGAAAGCACAATATGATATCAGACTTATGTCGCAACATTTGAAATCAAAATGAGTTTTCATTATGATAGGAACTGCACACTTTAATATCGATTTGCTTTCATTTTGTTAACCGACTTTGCTCGGGTATATAGTTGATTAGTAGTGAATTAAGCGAATTATATGCCCATAATGCAACCTCAATAAGTTAGCTGATCTGAAGATTGAAAGGGGCCTCCCTTAGCTCAGTCGGTAAAGGCGCAGCTACAAAGCAAGACCATGCTGGAGGTGGCTGGGTTCAATTCCCGGTCCGGTCTAGGAATTTTTCGGGTTGGAAAATTTCTCGACTTCCCTGGGCATAGAAGTATGATTGGACTTGCCACACAATTATACCAATGCAAAAATGGTACAGGCATCGAAAGCTCTCAATTAATAACTGTGAAAGTGCATCTAGAACACTAAGTTGAGAGCACGTAATAAGCTTATATGCGTATGCAATAAGCTTGAAATGCGAATAAGAAGAAGAAGATCTGAAGATTGAACAAGCCTTATTTAAGCTTAACCCAACTCCACAAATCAGCAATGCGTTACACATATTTTGATAGCTTGATTTGTTAAATGTCGTCAGTGTCTGTGTCATTCGTTGCATTTCCGGCATTTTAGTTCTTCTAAATTCACTGCCTACCTTTCTAATTACAAGCACTGGCACCAGTAGAGACAAGGAAGAGGAGATTTTTAGGAATAGCTCCTCGTAGATGTGGGCTGCGAAGACGTCGGTGGTATTAACATTTGCATTCCTGTGTTTTGTCTGTTATATTGCACTGAAGTTTCAGACCGCACTGTACTTGAAAATGAATGGAATGTTTTACTGTCACCAGTTGTTGTTTACAATTCTGCATTGCTGTGTAATACTCTTCCGGTTGCTGTTATTCAACTTAAATTTGACGTGCTTCAACTTCAACTTCAATGTTCATTAACTACGTAGACAGGTTTTTGGGATTTTTGACCCCCTCCCCCTGCGTAGACAATTGTCAAATTTTTTTAATTTGTATGGGCCGTGAATAATTGCCAACCCCCCCCCCTCCTACATTTCTACGTAGTTTATAAACAGCCCCTTAATTATTATACCTTTTACCACACATATGCTTAAATGGTCCAGTTGATTTGGGCGACTGCCGGTTCGAATCCCGAAATGCAAAGGTAATTTTTAGCAGTTCCATATAAATGCGTAAGATATGAAGTGGTCTTCCATTATTATTTTTGAAATAAAACTAGAAGGCTGAACAAGGGTTGGAAAAAACTGTTATTTAATGCCTTAAAAAAGCTTATAATGTATATTACTGTTAAGCTTTTGACTGATTAAAATCACCAGATTTAGATGTTTAAAAGCTGAACAACGGTTAACGTGCTCTATGTACAGCAATTATTCAATCTAAGGCTGAATGAAAATCGATTACACAACACTTGGTAAGAGCGGCACCGGTGGTGTAGTGGTAAGCGTGATTTCGTCTCACCCCAGTAGGCCTGGGTTCAATCCCTGTCGGCGCCGCCGGGATGTTCTGAGGCATAACATCTCTGATCACGGCTTCCTTCGGGGAAGTAAAGCCGTTAGTCCCCGGTTCATGAGTTGATGGGTCGATAGGTAGGGTCCAGGTGTGGGAGCTGCCTCCCTGGCGTCGGTAGCATTGGTGCTCAGCACGTAAAACAAGATCGACGGAAAACAAATCAAGGAAAAAAACACTTGCTAAGCATCAAATTATTACCTGGGCTAGTGTCCTTAAAAAAATGTCTCTGGGGCTGGGGCTTTTAAAATATGAAGTCAGGACTGGCTTGAAATATGAGGCTTTGGAAAAAAGTGATAGGTACGATTTGATTGTTTTAAGTATCTCAAAAATAACATTAGGAGTATTCACATAGTGCATCGTAAATGTATACACCCTCGTAAATGTGTAAACTTCCATTAAATTTCAATGGACTGCGGTATTTTTGCGATAGTGCAAATGTGTTTACGATGCGCATAGTGAATATTCCTGTTTACTTTTTGTATCTCTTATATAATCACGCTCAAAATAATACCTATAAATCTCGAATACTTAACGATGCAGCAGCCAAGATTTCGGATAATTTCTCGGATATCCGAAATTGTTACACAGGGTGTCCACTACCTGCAAAAACCTGGAAAATCTGTGATTATTAGGGAATTTATTTTTGAACCTGGAACATCAGAGAATCTCAGGGAATTCCATTCGAATTCGGGGAAATATTTCTTAATCACAGAAACTTATTAATAAGTATGACTGACTTCGCTAGTTTCAAATAACGTAATTTCTCGGTGTAGTTTGAGGATAGTTGACCATTTAAAATGTTAAATAGAGTTGCGAACTGGTGGTTCAAAAATTACTCAAATAAAAGAGTATTTCGATGATTTTGGGTCTAATATAATTTCAGCTCCCAGTGTTGAACTGAGATCTTAAGATTTGATAATGAGTCGCATTTTTATGATTGAATAATGATTCAAAGATTCGTTTGGTTAAACGTACTATCCGGAATAATTTTCTAGCGGAAGGAAAACAATAAAGTGGGATTAAAGACAAGTGTTTCATATGTAAGACGTAGAAGAACTGAGCGAATTTATGCACCTAGCGTTGAGTTCAGAAACAGTTTGAAAAGAACTTCTAATGATGAGAAAATTTCCATGCCTATTCTTGTATCATGGAGTAGGTCGAGGTAAAAAGTTCATGGTCCGTACTTGATGAAAACTTTAAGCGATTAAGAAAGCCTTTTTGGAGACTTCTATCGATGTGGTGTAAGTATCCTTCACACATTGATCTCACATCCCGCTATCACTACTTGAACTGATTATCTGGCGCTTACCACGTTTAATAAAGTATTAAAAAAAAAGTTCACTGGCCCCGTAGTTAGTTTGAACAAGCCAAAATTTAACAAAGAAATCATTTTTACTTTGAACTTCCAGGAACATTTTGATTTCGTCCTTCAATTTAAAAGCACGGTTGAGAACATTGCCTTTAGACAACCAGCGCGTAACAGTGTAGAGAAGATTTTTTTTTGTCTTTATTATACAGACTTTCAGCCTTAGGTTGGTTCATCTCTTATGTAGAGAAGAAGAACCACGTGATCTGAATTAATTTGCTTGTAGAGTTCTTTGAATAAACAAGTGTTCAGAGCTCCAGATTTGACATAGTTAACAATTTTGATGACAGAATCAAGTACTTTTAACATTAGTTCCGGCAGAGTCTTGCTCTTGCTGACAAAGGCATATCGAACACCTGTGGCGTATGGAGCAAGCACTATAATCTCTGAAATCTTGATTTGTTACCAAGCATTGCTAGATCGCCGTCGGTGTTAACTTCACTTACTTTTTCCCACTGTAAGCCACCCGATTAAAAAAATGTTTTGATATTGTCACTTTTGGCATATTTTTTTTTAGACCAAACAAACCAAGACCCACGCGGCCCCCCTGAAAAGACTTCGTGGACCACCGGTTGAGAAACCCTGGGGTAGGCACTGTATCTAGATTATAGGGAATATCAGGGATTCTTTTCATTGAGTCGACGCCCTGTAACAGCTCATTGAACTTTTTAGTAGCGAAATTAAATGTCCGGTGACCCATACCTTCATATATACAATATACATAAAAAATGCTGCCTGTAGTTTTGTTATTGATGATTTACCCACAAATCACACCGAAAATTTGCACGTGGTGACGATAAAAAAAAAATGTGATAATTTTTTTAGATTTGTGCCGGGAATTTTAAGATTCTCTGGCCACCCTAATTTCAGTTTATACCGCTTATTGAATAAAGAGCGAATGTAATCGTCTAATCAGCTAACATGCAGTTCTTTCTCGATCCGCATACGCATTAAGTAACACTCATAAATGATGTAAAGAAGTGTTTTTAGAGTTAAGTCCTTCCGTCCAATTACTGTAAATATGTTCATTTCAAAAATTCCTTAAATATGTCTACCATTAATTTAATTTAACATTCATCTCCTGGTAATAAATTCATATGCATCACTATTCCATGAGTCATTTCATATACATTTCACAGCAAAACAGCTTCGCCGTCGCCGTTTGACATACAGTCATCAGTTCTCAGATTTATCCTATAATAATAACAAAAGTCTATTATAATCACTTAAAGCCGCTTAAAACCACATCCCGGAGCGTTCATCGATTATCATCTTCATCCATGCGCCACAGCAACAATCACACACATCAGTGCCACCAACGTGATTAGATTCACATTGCTTCGCCACGGAATTGATCGCCGTTTTTGCATGCACCCACGTACGGAAAGCTTCTTAATTCTAATTGTACAGATTATAGGTTCCATTCGTCGTCTCGTGGTGAAATATGTGAAACAAACAAACAGTCGCGCAATTATCAGTTTATAGAGAGGCACCAATTGTGTAAACAATCGTGATGTGAACCGTGTGACAGTGAAGAGAGTGTGATCGAGGATCACGTGTCCTCCGAGCGAGAGAGAGAGAGTGTATGCAACTGCGAAACTGACAACAAATCCATCATTGATGAGTAATCATCCCCGTGGGCGAAATCTGCTCGGCGGCGAGCAGTAGTGGCAAAAGAATACAGTAATATGGTGACGACAATCAAGATCACCTGCGACGGAGTGTTTATCCAGTCCAATTCCTACCTGACGAACGGCGGTGGGCTTCATCAGCACAGCCGGCAGCAGTCATCGTCATCCGAGCCGGGTGGACACTCATCCGGTAGCAATAGTAGTTCGCTGTCCAGGGGTGGATTCGGAGGGCCAGGAAGTGACAACGGGAGCACCACTAGCAGCAGTGGAGGCGGTGGTGAACACGAAGATCATCAAATGAATCGAGGATTCACCCACGTCGGGAAAGTGGTGGATCGGGACGGAAACAATAACCGCGATCTGGACCCTAGGGCGGTCCTCAGTGATAGTAATAATAATTTTCAAAAGATTGCCAGAAGACGTTACCAATCGGAAGAGGTACTCACTCGGTTGCAGAAGTTCAGCGGAAGTTCCGATGGTTCGGACACGGTAGACGCTGCCGGTGGTCCCATCTACTACAACAGTGGCACCGAATCGGACGATCAGTTTACGATCTCGTTCCTGAACACCCGTGGCCACAACGGGAAGAGCCTTCTGAATCAAAAGTTCATCGTGTACAACAGCAAGAAACCAAAGCCTTCAAGTCTCCTTGCGCAAAACGGTTACCATCCAAGCCAGTACCGGCAGTTCCTGAACGGTCGTCTCAAGCCGGCCTTCTCGACGTCGGTTCTCACGTCCCCGACGCTAATCGCCAGTGCCAGTGGAAACTCCGGGCGCCCGGCCACGGCAACTCCACCACCTAACGGCCTAACGATCGCCAAATCGAATTTGTACCTGCAGCGGACGGCATCGCCGGCTCCTTCCTCGTCGGTGTCATCGCTTTCGCCCTCGAGTGGGTTCGCATCGGCTTCACCGACGCCACCGAGATCGCTACCCACGGCAGCAGCAGCAGCGGCACTCGCCTCGCCATCAAATCTTGGTCAGTAGGTCTTTGTTTTTTTTATTTACTTAACTGCTTTCTCACTCACTCTATGATGTTGCATTCTATTCCGTGTGACGGGTTTATTCAAATTTGTTAGCTTCTTGCGACCCACGCGCTTTCAATGGGTTTTCATATGGTATACAATGTAGGAGGCCAATATCACAGAGCTGTGTTGCTTGTGGACCCACTGGTGGGCCCAATAAAATATTTATATTGTTTAATTTCAAGTGTTATCCGACCTTTTTTTCTACTCTATATGCTAAGATTATCTTCATCAAAATCACTTGAATCATCGATTTTAGGTCTCTAAATTTTTCCGAATTATCCAAAATCTAGGTATTTATTCAATTGTAGGATTCTCCAATTCCAACTGTAAGAATCTTCAATTCAGAAAGACTTGGAAGTTCTCGATCACCCTTATTGCTGCTGCATACAAATGACATAGGAAATACTTTTTCCACTTTTTGTTTTCTATTTAAATGGCTCACTCAAAAGAAACCAACAATTGGTCTGCACAGCGCCCATTATTTAAGCTCAGCCACGCCCCCACCTTCACAGTGTCCATTATCGATTGGATCATATTGGACGAGCAGCAGCAGTAGCAATTGCAATGTTGTATCAATTTGTGATACAATTTCACTCTGGTTTTCTTTCGTTTGCCACCCCTCCAGTAGCTTCATCGGGGATCAGCTTCAGCAAACAAAACGCAAATTGTTCCGGTGCATTTCCCTCTCAATTAAGTATACCGCATCGTGTAGTCGCTGTATGTGTCTGTTCGTCTGTCTCTCTGTCTGTCTGTCTGTGTAGTTCAATATTCATCCCACCATAACATATGCTACCTTCATTGCTTCATTGTAACCAGAAGCGCACCGTTCCGGATTTTCTTAACTGAGCTCGGCATCAGGTTTGCTCTTTTGCATCTCTTCTATACACTTGGATGATGGAATGCTGTATGGTATGGATTGTTACAACATATCAGAAACAACAATCTAAACAAAAGTGAAATAGGTACGGAGGGAACGGGTGCACTTTTCCTTTTGGAACTACTGTTTGCTTTGCTCTTGTATGGCTTTAGCGGTCGAGTCGTTCGTCTTGGAGATAATAGGGATTTGCGATGGTACAATATTAATGTTAGCGTACTAAAGGGCGAGTTTGCGTTGAGCTTTTGTACGTAGGAAAGCCAACGCTAGTGATCATGGGGAAGGGTGAGATCGGAACTGGACCTCCCGACAAGTGGCTTAATCTTTTGTGTGCGCAGGGATCGTTGGTAAACAAAAGATATGAAAGGGTGATTTCGGTTTCGATTTTTGCATCTTTCAATAACAACGGTTCTTTCAAAATGGTGAAGTAGTAATTTTTTTGTAATTGTAACTGAATTTTAGAAGGCCAAGATTAGTTCAGAATATATTGAAACTGAAAGATTAAGTCGTGAACGTGGGTAGATCACATTTTTGTGGTACGTACCGATTCCTAGTCCTGACTACTTCACACTAGGGGAACAGGATTTTCAGTAATCAAAGGAATACATCTTAGTCCTTATTACTTTTTATGTCTTGTTGATAGTATCAAGACTTGGCTTTGTACACCGAGGATGATCTTGAAACAAGGAAAAAATGAGTTAATTAGTCTTCACCTATGTGATTCCTAATCTTCTATTCGTTGTTCTCTAGTTCGAAGTGGTTAAGACTAGGGTTCTGATGCATGGTCATTACCGGTGTCATAGCTTATTTTTGTTGCTAAGGAATCCAATTTTGACTGACAAAGGGGTGCGCCTTTGGAGGGTGTTCCAACACTCCGAAGGGTATAAATAGCGGGACCTTTCAATTAGAGTCGGATCCTTGCGATAAATGCAAGAATGACAACTGTAAAAAAATTCAATACTTCAGCATTTCTGAATAGTGATGGAGTTATACGACATGCACTAAACTAAGGACACGGGATGTACTACAATAGATCAAATTACTGGTCGCAGTAGTGTTAGGTCCCGATCAGAGGGAAAAAAAGTCGTGAAATGAACTTGATCTTCTGGTTGAGACTAAAATTTAGTAAGTCTAACTCACTTCGAGTGAACGCTCACGGCTCATAAAATCGTTGATGTGACTCAAATTTTTATGATAATTACAGGGCTGGTAGCGAGTCACTTTTTAGTGACTTGGTCGCTTTTTTCAAGTCAGTCACTAAAAAGCCTCTTTTTCCAAGTAAGTAAGTTTCAAGTTCATAATTAACTTTATGAAATAATAGAGATCATCGTTGTAGGTCCATTAACTTTACAACAATTGTAGGAACTGTGGCGAAGGAAATGCTGAGAATATCAGTGAAGCCCTCTAAACGAACTGCAGGAACGTAAGGGAAGTTACCACGCTAAAAATATGGGAAACTTACTGGAAGCTGTAAGAACCTCAAAGCGGTTCTTTTAGCATCCGAGACTTTTCAGGAACTTTTATGAAGTTCCTAGAATTTCAGAGAACTTCACAAGTATCAAACGAACTTGAGAAATTTAAGAAAACTTGAGGGGTATTGTGCAAATTTCTAAGAAATTCTAAGCACCTCAGAAAAGCTGGATCTAGAAATCTTTGGGGAATTTCAGAGCTTAAGAGCAGTTCCCGTAACTATAGTCTAGACTTTTGGAGCAGTTTGAAATCTATAATCGTAAATAGCTTGAGAGCTTTAGGGGAGCTTCGAGAACATCTAGACAGATCAGATAATCAATGGGCAGTTCAAATAATTTCAAGGAAATTGTAGAAACCTTAAAGAAGTTTCGAGAAACTCAGAGAATTTCCGGAAACTTCTGCAAAGCTCCGAGAGAATATCTGGAACATGATCAAAATTATATGGACATCCGGAAAACGTGAAAATTTAGCTAAATTGATTAAAGAACATCAACGAAGAGAACTTTTACCAAGCAGCGATATCTTCAAGAAATTTCAGAGAACTAAATTTAGATATTTTAGACAGTTTAATGATATTCAGCGAAGTTCCGAGTACTTCGAGGACGATCAGATAGCTTCAGAATAATCCCATTAAATTCCAGAAATTTAGAAATTTAGAAAACTTCGGAAACTTTACAGAAGGACAGTGGTCTTCAGAAACATTACTTCATAGAAATCTATGGAGCTTGATGAGATGAGATCCGCAAACTTGAAAATTGAAGCAATTCCCAGATTTCCAGATAACTTCAGAGACGTTAAAATTTTTTTGAGGTCTTTGCATCAGTTCAGAAGTTCACTGAAGAATTTTTAGGACGATTTAATCAAATTCAGCGCAGTACAACAAGCTTCATAAGAACTGCAAAAACTTTAGGGAAGTTTTGGGAATTTCAGAAAAGAACAGAGAACCTCAGAGCAGTTCCGTCAACATTAGAGAAGTCACATAAATTTTAAAGAAGTTTAGAGAACTTCAGTGATTTGTGAAACCTTTAAAGAAGATCCACGATCGTTGGAAAAATTGAAGAAACTTCAGAATTTGAGGAGAAGTATTGTGAGCATCAGACTAGTTTATCAAACTACCAAAGAACTTCAAGGCAGTTTATTAACTTCAGGAAAAATTTGAGAATTTTCAAGTAATTTTGAAGAGCTCAGAATAGTTCATTCCGGAGATTTCCTCAAAATCTCGATGAAGCTATCTTCTTTTAGTTTTCCTCGGAATTACTTTGAAATTCTCCACAATTAGAAATTCTTTGGAAAGATTCTCCGCGTATTCATTGAATTCATTCCAGATTTCTCTTTGAATCTCACTCCTTCCCTTAGAATTCTACTTACATTGAAAGTCTCCTAACAATTCATTGGCATTTCTCCTCAGAAAATCCTTAGATTTCTTCTCATAATTTGTTTGGCAAACTGTTCTGAATTTATTTTCCGAATTCCCTTGAACATGTTCTGGAGTTATTCTCAGATTTAATTTGTAATGCTCCTTTTAGTATTTTTATAAATATTCCAAGGACTTCTGCTCCGGATTCGTTTTCTCCCACAAACTTTATGAAATTATCCTCAGAATGCCCTTGGAATTCTCCGGTGAAGTTCACACGAGTTGTGCTCCTCAGAAATTCCTAAGATTTCTTGGAATTCTACTCAAAATTAAGGCTTCATAAGAAATCTAAAATTCCTCAGAACTACCTCGATTGCATTTGATGTTTTTCTGAATGATTTTTTTTTTCCAGAGCTCCCTTGGAATTAGGTCCTTAAAAATTATAATAAAATTCCTCGGATCTTTAAAACTGTTCATGGAATTTGAATGCAGATTCTTGGAAACTTCTTGGTCTTAGGTCACTTTTTAGTCACTATTTTTACAACTGTAAGTCGGAACTTTACAACCAGTGAAGTATCTGCAGTCATATGTAATCCTTGCACTGATGGTGGGTTCTATTCACATCACATGTTCCCCTATAAAAAAGTGAATTTGTGTCGCATATATTATAATCTCATCTGATTCTGGATTTTACAGTCAGCTTCACAGGTGTCAACCTCCTGCCCAGGAATAAGGAAAACTTCGTTAAAGTCTCTTATTGTGTTTCCCTTCCGACTGGGGGACTTGTAGACTTCGGGGCAAACTTTCTTTGACGGTGGTGGATTATTCCCTTCGTTCGCCTCCGTATCCGAAACTGGCTACATCTGTTCCAATTCTGCTTCAGCCTCCAAGCGAGTCTTGAACTCTCTTTTTTTCACTCAATTGATACGTTCCCACATTGGGTTTGGCATGGAGAACTCGTCTTGAGAGAGTTTCGCTACCGCGTTTTTTTTCCGGCCAGTGTAGGATTCCAGCTTCTTTCCAACCAGAAAGAATTACGGTTAGGCATGTTTCGCATCTTTCAATTGTTTGTACCACTTTAAATGGCATTTTTTCCGCACTTGAACTTGGACGACACTAGCTGACTCCCTTCCGAAACATTTTGAACTGTCACTTTTCTCCAGGCAACTTTGTCATCATAAAACTGAACGGTACCAAGTCAAGTCAAAATGGATAATAAATAAACAATAAAGTATTCAAATTTACTTTATAAA